AACCATTTGGCCCCCGTACTGGTCCTCAATTTCTTGCCCCTGATCCCACAGAACCTAGTCCTGAATTTCGACTGTTCTTTGCTTAAGCCTGGCCCTGGCTGGCTTCCGTAGATAATTTCCCTACTCTAATCCCCCCCTATATAAAATAAACTAAATAGACACTTTGGAGGGATGTCATGGTCAAGGTCTGAGATACCCACAACCTACGTCAGCGCAAAACTTCAACTTTGGTCAGTCACGAGCAGGACAAACCTTACCCCAGCGACGATTTCTCCGCAGCACAGAACCGGTACAGCCGTAACCACCAATGACCAGAGAACGGGGGGTTTAGAATAGGGAAATTATCGTGGATAGCAGCAAAGCAGAACCCGAAGTTTGTTTCACTTGCAGAATCATCCTGATGATAGCCTGTAGAAGATAACCATGCTTCGCCCCAGACCAACATGTCATTGTTGCGGAAATGCCGTGATTCAGCCATGGGCTTTCTATCTATCAATCATGAACTCGACATGGACGAGATGGAAGCAAGGTGCGAGACAATACAAGAAAGTGCCTTTTGTGGCCCGCATTATGCCGCGTGCGCTAATGGAAGACCAGGAGTTAAGACCCCCTTTTGCAAGCAGTGCTTGCCCCCAACCCGCCACCAGACCTTGCTGTGCTTGATGCTAACCGCAACATCCTTGAGGTAGTGTTGGACAGGCTGGAAGAATGCAAGAGGCTGAAAGAACTGGAAACATTGCAGCTCACCCTGGCAGAACCTCGAGTCCCACGGGTTGGTATCTGGTCTAAGATTATTTTGAGCCTGAAGAATGACGAGATTGTGAAATGTATATTGGACGATGCACAAGTCTTGCAGGAAATACGAGTATCCTGTGACATTATTCATCGGGTTTGTCTCTCAAGTATGAAGATCACGTGAGACTAATCCTCAAGGATGGCAGGCTGATGCAGGAGCTTGGAAAGTGGCGCCAACGGCCGCCTCGAGAATTGCCTGTTCAAGATGTTAGCAAAGCATATGATATGGCTTTTTTCAGTGCTGTTGAAGCATGAGGCATTCCGCTGCTGATCCACGGGGAATTTAAACACTTTGATGCATCATTTGTCAAATCTTGAGTCTCTCCTCGAGAGAACCCAACACACCAATATCAATAATAGACACGACAATCTACAACACCACTGGATGTTGCTATTGACGCCCAGTCTCATTCACGGCATGACGATGCAGGTATCCGCAAATCCATTGCTCTTTTGGAACGGGCTGCTGGTGCAGAACAACCGAGATTCCCGCCTTTCACTTTCGAGTTCGTGGAGGAAACAAGATCGTGTCAATTCGTCGTCAAGACAAATGCAAGGCGGCGTCGGACTATTTCAACGGCCAAGACTTACCAACGGAGTTTGAGGCAGAAAGTCTGAGCTTGGAGGCCATACACTTTGTCAAGAACGTCGTAGAGGATCGGTCTTGGAATCCCTCATCAGGGACGTAGAAAACCATTCATACTGTCTATTGTGGTCATTGCCAACAAGTACGAGGTGCGCCCGGTTCAGCTGTTCGTCGAAGATCGGTTCCTTAGACAAGAGCGCTGGTCCCGGGAGGAATGGATCTCCGATGAAACGTGCAAGCAAGACCTCGTCAAGCTGTTTGATATATGGTATGCTGCCAACGGAAACGAGGACTTGAGACTGCCAGAACAACTGAACATCGTTGCTGACGTCGAACGAGGTGGTCCCGCGCTGCTGGAAGGCGTCGTCAGCTAGAGGTACGTTGTGTTTTTTCTGTTCTGGAGTCTCAAGTGAGAATGTCACTCTCCTAATGCACTTATGTCACTCTACTAATATACTTGGAGTATGCTCTAGTTTGATAGCTGTCGCTGCGGTACAGTATGGTACGGTACGGTAGCTTGATCGTACCGATAGTATCGGTGGACGGAAGCACTGCACATGTACATTACAATACCGGTATAGCTAGCTAGCCAGCTTCCATGGTCATGGTGCATTCTTCGGAGAGCGAGACCGAGAATTATAATCCCTTCTTCTTTCGGTTAGTTGCCACGATTTCCCCCAGAAAGCTTCCAGGATCCGGTGCAGATACGGAGCAGCTATCATGGTTCATTCTTCCGATCGGGAGACGGAAAATCACTCTGGACATAGTTTGTTTTCGCTGAGCTTCAACCTGCCGTGACGGCATACTCTGAGGTAGTATTGGCACTCAGCTGCAACGACCAGCTAGCCAGCGAACTACCAGGAACCAGTGTTGCAACTTGAATTATGTGATTGTGCAGTCACAGTTATAACTAATACATGTACACTCCACAGGAAACGGATCTGGGTCACAGTCAACAACAATTTTTAAACCCGAGTTGGAACAGGAACTGGTCGGGACACTTCCGGAGAACTGGTTGTCATACAAATACAAACGTGTCAGCTTTGTCAGCAATCCCAGCTCCGATGGAATTGTGCCTGACAGGTTGTTGCGAGACACACTCAAGAAGAATAAGTTCATCAGCAAACCAATTTCCGATGGGAGGCTGCCAGATAGTTGGTTTTCATTGAGAACCAAGGAGGTCACACGTGTCATCAACCCCAGTTCGGATGGGAGGCTGCCAGATATGTTTGTCTCATAAAAGTCAACCGAAGTCAATAAAGACAACAAACCAATCTCGGATGGTATACTGCCTCCTGATAATTGATAGCTTTCCAAGACAAGGGAAGTCCATCCCGTCATCAATCCTATCTCAGTTGGAATGGTGCCTTCTTCCAAGAACAAATCCGCCCACAAGTCAACAGAAGCTGCCAACAAGCCAAGTTCTGTAGGAAAGGATGCCTGAAATTGGTTGTCGGCAAGGTCCAAAAGAGTCAATTCGGACAACAAGCCAATCTCGGAAGGAATGATGCCTGAAAGTTGGTTTTTTCGGAGATCCAAAGATTGCAATGATGTTAACCGCCCTAGCTCAGATGGGACCTCTCCCACCAATTGGATGAAGCCCAAGTTCAAGGAAGTCAATGCTGTTAACCGTCCCACCTCAGATGGGACCCCCCCTACCAATTTGTTATCTCCCAAGTCCAAGGAAGTCAATGCTGTTAACCGTCCCACCTCAGATGGGACCTCTCCTACCAATTTGTTGCCTCCCAAGTCCAAGGAAGTCAATGCTGTCAACCGCCCCACCTCAGATGGGACCACTCCTACCAAGTTGTTGCCGCCCAAGTGCAAGGAAGTCAATGATAAGAGCAAACCAACCTCTGATGAAATTATACCTGACCACTGTGTGCCCTGGACATTCAGCTTTTTCAAGGTTTCCAATAGGAAAAGCTCGAGCGGAATTGTTCCCTGAAAGTTACTTTGTTTTGTCACTGAGATCATGGTCGCCCTACCATTATTGTTACAACTCAAATGATTGTACAAGGAACCCGAATTGAGAAAACCCCAATCGCATTCATTGGTTTCATAGCCAAGCCACTTTTTTTGTGTTCTAAGAATATGCCATTTCGCACCGTTGAAGGCGTGGTAGAAGGTGGCCAGAGCAAATCTCTGTTCCTTTTGCCAGTTTTCATAGGTTGCAAGGTTGGGATCAAGAGTCAGCCAGGTGTAGGCTTTGAATTGGGGTGATTCTTGATCCATCATAATGGACTCCCAGGTGGAATTAGGGGCATTGGGAAGTAGTGCCTTATTGATACTGGTTTTTGGGGATTCTCCAGTTTCCCCTCCAACAGCCAGTGGAATGGCAATGGCCAGAATGATAACTACCACCAGTACAGCAATTGCTGCCCCCATCACCAGCGGATTTCTTTTCTTCTCCTCTAAAGTCTCAGTAGTATTGAGTTCTGCCTCTTCGATTTGTCCTGGCACCTCCTGCCTTGGCAGAGCAGATGGTCCCAGCACATCCAATCTCACTGGTTCCACGGCTTGATAGTTAGCACCTGGTGCTCCTGAATAAGCACCAGGAGTGACAGAGCCTGGTGGTAGGTGGTGCTTGGTCATCGGACGCCCAGTTTGGTGGTCATATTCAACGCCTGCAGCTGGATTTGATGCAGGATTGAGAGCAACAGCATTACCAGCAGCATCAGTAGGAGCTGTACTATCTGCCGTTGCTGCCATGCTGGGTGTAGCATCATCAGCAACACTTCTTTGTGCGACAATGGCCATGAGATTGACTGAATCCCCTTTTTCAGAAACAAAATCACCAGGATTGAAAGCTTGTGTTCCAACCTCTTCAGGGTTGTTGCTCTTGCCAGTGCTTTCTGCCAATTCTGCCTCTTCTCTGCTGGCAGCGGCAGATCGATCTGCCTCTTCTCTGCTGGCAGCGGCAGATCGATCAGCTACAACTCTCAAAAGGGCAAGCTCGTCTTTTTGCCTTTGATCGTCATCCTCACTAGTGTTCGTTCGGACTGCTCTAGTGGTAACAGTATCTGGTGCTTTCTTCCTTGTATTGGCATATGGTCGTCTAACAACTGCCGGTGCTGCAACAGCACCAACATTGCCATAGTTGTTCTTTTCTGCTGCTGCCCGTCTGAGAAGTTCTTCCTGTTTGATGTCTTCCGCAGTCTTGGTGGCAGTTTGGCTTCGCTCAAGGACAAGCTGATTCAAGGAGAGATCACTATCCAAGGCAGCCTCTTCTTGGCTATTTGGAAGGTGAGGATGGGTGGATGACATGGTGATGATTTGTTGGTTTGTTGGTTTGTTGGTTTGTTTATGAAAAGTTATGGCCCAGCAGACAATGAATGGCAACACGTGATTGCAGCAAATAAATGTTCGGCTCGTTCAAACAGAGACTGTATTTGCACTATGACTTCCTTGCCTTCGTAGATAATTCCCTACTAGCTAGTACCAGTACTGGTACCGGTACTCTAAACCCCCGTGTTTTTTTATGACTTCCAAGTGTGGATGAATCGAATCAAATCGAATCGAACTGGTCTGGAATGACCTCTGCCACTATGCCACTAAAACATTCTGGACGTGCAATGAGAAGCGTCATTATGTCTTTTCACAATAATTAAGTTCCAAGTTCCATCATAGAGTCATAAACCGAGTGACTCAATCGTGGAGTTCTCAATCAATGTATTAATAATACAGCTGGCATAAGCCAGCAGGCTTTTGAGACCTTCTTGACCAGGCGGAAGTTTGTTGAAACGCCGCCATGTACTACTGTAGTATGCGCTCTTGAGAGGATAATCGGTTCATCACTCGCTCTGACTGCGATACCTGGTCCACACGAACCGTATTCAACCAAGGAGTCCCTAGCTACATGTAGTAGCTCTGCTTTGGATTGACATACATGTAGACCTTGGCACACTCGTGAGTCTCCCGTGGGTGGCAGAAGATTATGTATCCACGAGTTGTCTCCTACCCATGGCAATCAATAATCAATCAGCTGGCTACCGTAATGGCCACCGTATCATGGGGTTTCAGTGGTGTTCCAGCTGGCCACCGGAAACGCAGTGGCCGGTTGGAGTTAACATGGGGAGATTGGCTTGTTCGCATGTTGTGCTGCTTGTGGTCTGTTGCCACTCTAGTAGCCAGTACGGTACCCACCAAGCTAGAGGTATTCGTTTTTGCCTTGTGGACCGCTTTGCAAGACTTTATCAAATGCAGCAAAAGGGGAGAGTATGTAGTAGCCTGGCTGAGAGAGGGCTACATGTAAATATTTGACAGAGCCGCTCATGGCTGCCACAGTTCTGGTTGCCTGCTCGTGCACTTGAATCGTATGATCCTTTTCTGGATCAAACGGCTCCATACCTGGTGTGTTTGTGCCAAGAGGTTTTCAATACACTAGCTAGCTAGCTAGTATAAGATGACTGAGGGGATCTCCGTTTGACTGAAATAAGGGCGCCCTGCAGCCGCATCTGCCGCTTCGTTCCCATACTATTACTACATACATGTACCAGTAGATAGCTTGCCGTGAAAGCACCTCCGCTGAGGGATTGAAATCGGGGGCATGTACTCTCAACACGGCGGTACGGTACACTGGTACCAGCCAGCAGCGTAGCAAACTTGAGCGCGGAAAGGAAGTACCGGTAGAGATAGCAGAATCAAAGCTACTGGTAGCTAAAATAACTTGGTAACTTGCGTGTTTTTCTTCTATTTGCTATCTATTTATACAAGCAATAGTGCTGCTATTGGCTGGTGGGTGGGAATTGATTTGATTCTGGCAAGCCATGCCATATCTTCCATTCCATCTGTACAAGTGTTCTATACAAAACTGCAACCAACCGCGTTGTTTAGGCAGCAATTGGGTTCATTCTCAATTGCGCGGCTGGTGAGCTAGTGCTTGTGGATGGACTGGGCCTCTGCTTGTCTCGGGTAGAAGAAGATGTCTTTCTCTTGCCACCACGACGGGTGCTGTCCTTGGAGGAACGCTGACCATCCTTCGACGAGCGACTTCCTCCCTCTTTGCTTTGGCTCTTCTTCATGGGTCGTTTCTTGTCGGACTCTTCTTGAATCTTATCGGCAATCGATGCATCTCGGAGTCCCCACTTGTACGCGCGCTTGCGATCCTCTCGTGTCAACGAACGACAGGCATCCCGCAACAAGTCGGCCTTTTCATCCTCGTCCATCATCTCGTCCATGAAAATCTCATCAAACGCATCCAACGCACGATCGAGCAACTCGGCGACTCGTTCTTGACGTTCGTCTTCTCCCGTCTGCATGTGCTCCAGTCCTCGCCATGTACAACCTTCTTTGCGGTTGTTCTCATTGCACAGTTGCATCTCGTATTTGGCCAGTTCTACCATTTCCTCCATGTTGTACCACAGTTCGTTGCGCTCTTCCTCCGTGTAGTCGAAACATTCAAACTCAAATTCTTCCACCACGGAGAACCGAACGCCGCGTACTTCTTCTGGTACAATGTCGCTCAATTTGACCATCTTGATATAGTATAGTATAGTATAGTATAGTATTCTAATAGAGTATGAGCTTGACTTGATTCCAAACAAACAATCTATGGCTGGGTGCTTTGCGTGTGTGTGTGGCTGTGTGGGTGTGTGGTTGAGTGCTTTATGGCAGGTGTCTCTGCGGTTGGTGCTGCGGTTGGATTTGTGGGAACTCGACTTTTTTGATCGCAATCATCTATCCATCAATCCGGTTATGGCTTGCAATAGTAGCTCGACCCAGTGAAATAAAGGCAGGATTATTAACGCTCAAGAAAGGCTTCGGTAGGATTGACACTTAGAAATTCAGAAAAACACACTCATTCTGACGGAGGAAAGAACAAGCGTCAATTGATCGGACGTTCGTCATTTGGAAGCAGAAGGCCCGCAGATTCCCAGAAAGAACAAGTGCTCACTTCCCAAAGTTGTAAACTCTAAGGCAAATTGTCTTTTGACGGAATGCACATTGTCGGATGACTGTAAAAGGCTTTGGAAAGCAAGCTTGATGGAACATGCGAATTGACCATAGATCCAATTGGAATTCAAAGCATCTACTGAACATTTATATAGTAAGAGATGAAAGATCAACCATGTTATTCCATGCTCATGTTGATTACGTTAAAAAGTAGTCAATTTATCCAAAAAGACCGGTATCCGAATGATACTCTGATGAATCTACACTAAGTGTGCGCTCTCTACAAAGTGTCCACCAAGTCGACAAACCAGCTAAGACACTTTCAAAGAAGCGGAAGCCATAAGGTCACAGTCCTTGAAAAGCCGTAAAAAGTTGGTTTTTGAGGTTCCAAGCACAAGGTCAAGGGCGAGTGACGAGTCAAGCGACGGAGAAGCAGTGAGAGTTAGTTGTTCCGGTACCGGTACTACAGCTGCGGTAGCTACATGTACCTAGCTAGCTAGCTATAGTCTACTCCAGTAGCAATTACAGGACCGGTACAGTGGGTATGGTGCAATGTCTGGCAGTCGCCTCTGGGGCAGCCTTCATCCCGCTTTCCAGTCCGGTTCGTGCCGGTTATGGATGTTTGTCACCAATGGTGGTACAGCACATGTTGTACCATACTAGCTAGTAGGAACGACAAAACTCTCGCGTAGTAGTATCGCCGCGTTATCTTGTGTTGCTTTACATGTACTGGTCTAGTATGGTACTCAAGCTCCTCGGAAGGGGAAGTGCGTTCCCTCAGAAGAGCGTCATGCACAGTGTCTACAGCCCAAGCGGTTTGCGGGAGAGGCCACAGGAGATCCAGGTCCTCCAACCAGATCCATGAAGGTGTGGGACCCAGGCAGCTAAACCCAGACAAAGATTCAGTGGGGAGATGAAGGCCAACCAGCCAAGAATCGAATCAACGTGGCGAATGGTTTGCTTAGCTAGTATAGACTACATTGCAAGTACATGTAGTCGAGGTTGCTTCCAGCTGGCCCGTGTGCAGACTCCGATTCAAGGCGACAGGACAGCTCCCCTGGCTGCGAAGAGGACGGATGCCAACGTTTCCGCATAAGTTTGTTACCCATGCTGACCAGCCAACGGTTGGCCAGCCGTTGCTTCGTGTTCGTGGCCTTCATCCTGGTGACAACGGAATGGTACCGTACGGTAGGTGGCGTTGCAACTGTTGCAATACTGTACCAGGTATCATAGTCATTCATTCAATTGCCCAGAAATTGCTAGCCACCTTACAAAGAAGGCAGCAAGGAAACGGAGAAGCAAAGGAATCAATCATATTGTTATCACACCTGTTGCCAAATCAAGGCAAGTGAAGCCTGTGTCAAGGTCCGCACTGTTTCCATGTAGAAGGCATCCTAACCAACAACGACCTAGTGGTTGGCTGCACTTGAACTTGGCCATAAGCTATACTCATAGTTTTCGGCACCACAACAGCACATGGAGAGGACAGGATTGTAGGCAGCTCATCCAAACCATCAGCGACCCTGTGGTTGGCTGCACTAGAACTTGGTTTAATGAAAGCTATACTCAGATTGTTGATTTGTCGGCCAGACACCACAACAATAAAGTCCAGTATTTTGCTCGCCACAGGAGCAAGGGCATCAGAGAAGCTAGTGACAATCGACTCAAAGCCTGCACCATTGGGCCGTCATTCAGGGCTGGCGGCATGTGTAGCTATGTTCCGCCACCTGGGAAGGTGCTTCTCCCTCTACGCAGGGCCGTAGCTACATTCTCTTACCAAAGTCTAGCCTTATGTCTGACGTCTCATCTATATTTTCTATGGATGTACTACCGAGAACATTGTGCACCAGAGGCTTGTTAGCCCGCATTGCTCCTTTTCAGTGAGTCGTAGGATGACATGGAGACATCAGCACCATGGGGTCGCCTGGGTGGCTACGTACTGCACAAACAAAGTTTGCAGGCACTTGAACTGGCACTCGAAGCAAATGGTGGTACTCAATTGCAACCTCTTTTGGTTTCACAATTAATAAAATTGCTCCAACTTGTTTCCTCGATCTGAACCCCGTTGACTGTCGCTCCATTCTAATTGTGTATGTCGTTTGCTGCTAGCAACCCGGACACTCTTGCGGTCCAGCAGTGTGCTGCAAGTTGTGTTGCTGGATCATGGTCGTTTGAATTCCGCGAGTATGCTTTGCGTTTTTGGTTTTGGTTTGCTTCAATGCATGGCAGCCTCCAAAACTTCCCTCCAGGTCAACCATCGTTCGGGTTGTCCCAATTGCGCCCATCCTATGCGGAGCACTTTCTCGGCAATCATGAGTACAATGGAGAGTAACATGATAAGTTTGACGCCTCCCAGATCGACCCACTTGTGGAAAATTGTTTCGTCAATCCACAAGATAAGAAATTTGGATCCAAAGAGTACGAGCCAAATGAAAAATGCCCCGAGGGGTTTGGACCACCACGGTTTGTGAGTTCCACAAAACAAGTTTTTGAATGTGTGTTGCAGAAAATGGACTCCTTCCAAGACCAGTTTGAGGACCACCGCTGTGAAGAGTGAAATAGTAAAGGAATAATCTTGGATTGTCATTTGAGGAACGTACTCCACAAACAGATTGATCACCGTCACATACAAGCAGACATCCATGAGACCCCAGGCAAATATCGTCTGTCTCTGGTTGGGAGCTGCTTTTTCGTGTTGGTGATGGTCTTGATCTTCTTCTCCTTCACCTTCATTCTCGTATTCTACTACATCTTGTCCTCCTGCAGAGACCTCCACAAGGGCTGTTTCCTTTGTGACATCCATTCCTTCTTCTGCCATTGTTTTGGCACGGTCAACTCACTTCCTGCGAAGTGTCGTGCTGTTGGCTTGGGTTGGTGTGGCTGTTGGTATAGCGAAGTTTCGGTCGCTGATCAGTCCCGCATAGCCTCGATCTTGGATCTCGATCGGCGATCCGCGAGAGACGTCTAGACGTCTCGAGACCCGAGACTCAAGATCACCCGAGATCTGACGCCACTACAGTATTTACTTCTGGATCAACTGAAAAGGACTGCACCCCCGGTCGTTAGCAGTGCAGCAGGGCACCAGAGAAAGCAAGATATGAGTTTTGTTTTCTGTGCTGAATGAACTGCGGACAACCCGTCCCTTACCCTTGCTCTTCAAAATTCACCAACCAAATGCATGACTCTTATTACTGGCCGAGAAAAGAAAACCCTCCCGAGCTGGTATGATTTCAATGAGGATGGCTTTCAGTTCTGCTCCCGGGGTGCGTGCACCCATTGACTAAGGCTTTTATTAAAAGGCTTGCATGCAGAGGTGCGGGGATACTCCTACTGCTCCGGTACCGGTATCGGTGCGGGTCGATTGGCTTATGCTTGATACCGTAGAGGTGCGACCGATCGACTCGACCCGACCAGCAAGCAAACGAGTTGATCGTTGAGAATTAAATGCCCTCCAATTGTCCATGAAAATAAATGAGGGATGGTTGTGGAATCCGCATTTTCAATAACACTCTTCAGCACCTCTAGAGAGGTGCGAAGGATTGCACTCGTTCAGCCGATCGATTAGATTGAATAGCAAAGAACTCCTCCTCCTTCAACACCATTGTTGTCGCTGAAGCTTGGATTTTCTCCTGTTTGCCATGAGAAGAATCCAAGGAGGGAGAGACGTCAGTGCAGGTATTTGGATCTCGGAGATCATCCGTAACGGGAGATTTTTCTACAAGAACCTTTGCTTTGGCGGAGGTTCTTGGACGATCTCGGGTTGAGATCCGTGACTAAGTCTCGCCAAAACTTTCCATTGTGACAAGTCTCGAATCGAATCGAATCGAATCGAATCGTGGAGTTTTGGATTTGAATCGAATAGATTCAATTGATCATCCATCTCCTTCATGAGGATCGTGATGCAAGCGTCCCATGCATGCATGGTCGACTTTCTCACTATTTTCTGTTGTTGTGCCGTACTAGCTAGTATATATTTATCGAGTGCATGCATCGGCTCTGGCATTGTCTGTTGCTAGTCTTAGCCTGGGGATTCGTTTCCTTACTACTGGCATGGAACAAAATTGCTCCCACTGTGGAGAACCTGAATGCAGAGACGGATACTATCACTACGAGTCGATATCCAGCTCCAAGACAGTTTCGGAGATACAAGACCATGTCTACTAGTAGCACCAATCCTGACCATGTCATCAAGACGCCAACCTCTCCCGTCATTATCATTGGCGCGGGAGTAGCAGGCTTATCAGCAGCCAAACGACTGAAAGAGAACAATATTCCCGTCTTGATTCTAGAAGGTCGCAATCGATTGGGAGGTCGCATTCATACCGTGGCCATGAACACACAAGAAAACAACTCAAATCAAGAGGAAGGTAGTACTCAGAAGAAAGCTTTTGTGGACATGGGTGCCGCGTGGATGGATGGTGGTCCACAATTCAACTCCCTGTGCCGCTTTGCGCAAGACCATGGCCTCACTCTGGTCCATACACCCTATCAGGAGAATCCCGCGGAAATTGGACGACAACATCGAGCGTGGGATGCCAATCACCACAAATGGCTCAACTGGTTCCAAGTAAATTGGCTCATGTTTCGAAATGGAATGATATTGAGAGCGCTGGAACAGCAAGAGAACAAAGCACAATACCAAAATATGTATCAACGAGTCCAACAGATTTATCAGCAACCGGGTCTACTGAACTTGGGAAAAGATCATTACGATCAAATGCTCGCTGAAACATTCACGGTGCACAATGAAGCGGCGTTCTTGACCGAAATACATCCCCTCAATGACGATGTGGCCTATTTTCATGTCAAAGATGAGTACTACAAGGGAACCGAGTACATGATCCAAGGGGGGTACCAGAAATTGATTGAGCTATTGCAAGAGGGAATCGGCGAGGAGGAAATATTGCTGAATCACACCGTCACGTCGACTACCGACCACAAAAGCAGCGATGGTGTGACGGTTACAACAACACAATCCACCACCAACACCAACAATAATGGAATCACCAAGACAACATTCCAGGGCAGTCATGTCATTGTCACGGTACCGCTGGGGGTACTCAAAACCAACAACCTTTTACTATTCGAGCCACCACTCCCTCCGTCCAAACAGGGCGCCATTCAACGCATTGGATTTGGAGTCCTCGAAAAGATTGCCATGACCTTTCCCACCACGTTTTGGAGAACTGTGCCGCACCGACGACAAGATGTCTACCACATTGGAGTAGAGCATCCCGTCGATTTCCCCAACTTTGTCGATGTCACGGAATCGGCCGGAGCACCAACGCTAGTCACCACCACTGTCGCCAAAGCACAACTGGTTCATGACAATCCACAAGAGGCTGTCGAGCGTGTTCAATCGTTGCTGGCAAGCATGTTTGGCAAACTCTATCAAGAACCGCTAGACATTCAAACGACTCAATGGAAGACGGATCCATTCTCTCTGGGCGCCTATATGCATTTTGGACGCGAAATGAAACCGGGGGATATCGAGTTGTTGGCCGAACCGCATGGTCGTATTCGATTTGCCGGGGAAGCCACATCGACCGAGTATCCGAGTTACGTCGAAGGAGCCGCCTTGTCGGGACAACGCGAAGCGGATCGGATACTGGCAGAGTTGATAACATAACTTGAGAGAAGTCATCGTTATAGTAAGGACGCGCAAGCTACGTCATGTCGTAGGTAAGTGTCGGACATTGGATCATTTGCTACTTCTACGGTATGCTACGCGTATGCTATGAAACGTAACTATAGAGCTATATATTTTATTAGAATTGACTCAATGTCCCTCGGCAGCCCAAACGCAAAAAAGGAGCATTTGGTTTCACCTTCCTGGGCGGCGGCGGCCATTTCAACGGGCAGCTGGAGAACGTTTCTTTGCAGTTTTGGATGGGCATCCATTCTGCTTCAGCCACATCACAATTTCAGGATGACCTGCTCGATGAGCTGCTGTGTGTGTTTGTGCATTCCATGGACAACCATTCACGTGTGCCCACAAAAGAGTTTCCATTTGACCATTTCGAGCGGCTTCGGTACATGTCTGTGGACCCCAGGGACAACCATTCTCTCGAGCCCATTTGAGAATTCCCAAATACCCATTTCGAGCAGCAGACTCACATGTGGATCGATTCCAACGGCATCCATTCACGTAGGCCCATTTCAGAATGCAAAAGTGGCCACCTTCCACGGCAGCCGAGCATGTCTCGGCATCCCATTCAAATCCGTTAAAGCGCGCCCATTTTAGAATGTTCAAATTACCAGTTCTGGCAGCAGCTTGGCATGTGTATTCATTCTTGGGACAACCATTTGCATGAGCCCACTTGAGGATCTCCAAATGGCCATTTCTGGCAGCAGATGCACATGTCTCTGGATCCCACTGGCATCCATTCTGTCGGGCCCATTGGAGGACTTCCAAATGGCCACCGGCGGCCGCCGCGGCACAGATGCTTGCCGTCCAGGGGCAGCCGTTTTCTCGAGCCCACTTGAGAATTTCCAAATGACCATGTTTGGCAGCCGCAAAACATGTTCTTGCATTCCAGGGGCAACCATTCTCTCTCAACCACTTCAGGACGTGCAGATGGCCATGTTTAGCAGCTTCTACACAAGTAGACTCATCCCAGGGAGAACCACACAATCGAGCCTTTTTGAGACTTTCCACACAGCCACTTCGGGCCGCCTCTTCACATGTCACGACATTGTTGTTGTTGTTGCGGTCGAGAGTCTTGTGGATGGATTTGGTGGCGTGCCAGTAGTGAAGAGCACTATAGAACGTGTCGGTACTAGTAATTGGAGAACTCTTACCATTGACATCCTTCACCAAAGGAGGGTTCTTTACAGTCTTGCAGTAGTCCTTGTAGAGTCGATTCAGTTTCTTATTGACAAGTCCAACAAAAGCATACTGTCCCATGCCAAGAAAAGGAAGGATGTCGTCGACCCAGAGCTTCTCCTTTTCCAGCAAGGACTCGATGACAGGGGACAGCCTCTGCTTTTTAGTGCTGGGGCCAAGAATAAGATCATTGCCCGCTTCCGCAGCCAACTTCCCTACGCCTCTTCTGGCCACCGCGGCTTCAAATTTGGAATAATCGTACATGGTGGCACCGTGGATACCTACAATCGCGGAGGAGGATATCAGATAGGTCGATGCGAGAGTTGTTGTTCCAGCAGGATTGTTGTAGCAGGACGATCGATGCGATAATAGAGGTGGTACCAGTACCTGGTATATACATATATAGATTACGATGTATGCACTAGCTGTGGGGTGCCGCTGGTCCAAACGGTAGCAGTACGTGAAGTCCCAGATTACTGATTGCAGTCTGGGTACCGGTAGGGTGGAATTGCGGGGAATGGGCTTTTGAGGTTCTTTCTTTTGGTGCTTTAGGATAATATTCCACTTTGAAACATGCCTCCAAGGAACATCATCCAGAATTTTGCTTTCTTCCATCTTCTGGTAAACTTTCGTAAATTGTTTCGCATTCAGTCGTTCTTCCAATTTCAATCGAAAGTTTCATTTTCAGTCATTCTTCCAAACAAAAGCAATTATGATAATTGCAACATCATGACAAACAGGTATTCCCGCAACTTGGATGGTTACCGATGTACATCGCATCATGCCAAACCAGATAGGAGACATTATCCTGCTCTTTGTAGGTCGTCAGCGGTCACAAAGGATCGCCTGCCGCTATCAGATCTTGAATGACGTCTTCTTCGTGACTAGCTAGTTTCTGACGTCATCTAACCCATCAAAGCTGGATCCAAAACTCAGAACATCAAATCAAAGTTGCCCCGATCCACCAACCTTCAGTACGTTGTGTCTACCAGTACTGCAGCCAAGGCCAAGTACAGTACATACCGTCTGCAAGGGTTGTGGTACCTGTACGGTACTGGTGCATGCATGGTATGTTCCCCCCAAGTCTCTTCAGAAGGAACCAAGGCGCAGGGTTGCGCTTGCAGTGTATGCTTCTTGCCTTGATTCTTTACTGTGCAAGTATCCCCCAAGTGGAATCTTTTGCCCCGGATGGATCTTTCTCTCCTTCGGTAGCAGAGCCACGCTGTATTGTAAAAATGTCAACCGCAGATACCACTATCGATACCGGTAGTAGTGATACGACACAAGAAGAACTCCCCTTGGTGCTGTCACTGTCGCGTCATTTGGGATCCACCAGTAGCTCGTCGGATGTGCACTTGATCTTGGCGAGTCAAAGTCCCCGCCGAAAAGAGATTTTGGACATGATGGGCTTGCAGGGGAAATTCACTCCCACTCCATCTCCTCTGGATGAATCGGCCTTGCAAAAACAACTCGCAAGTTTGCCACCCGTCGAGTACACGCGTCGGTTGGCGGAAGAAAAAGCCAAGGCATTGGCCATGGACATGACGGGCGGCAGAATACCCAAACCCACGTTGGTACTGGGCAGCGACACCATTGTCGACTTGGAGGGCACCATTTTGGAAAAACCAACTGATGCCGCGTCCGCCAAAGTCATGCTACAGGCACTCTCGGGACAACGACATAATGTACACACGGGGGTAGCACTCTATTTGGTCCAAAACCAGGAAGAGCCAAAACTCGTGGCGTCCATAACGGACACGGCCGGGGTCCTCTTTGCGCATCTCCGAGAACATGATATCGACGCCTACATTCAAACTGGAGAGCCCATGGACAAGGCTGGGTCGTATGGCATTCAAGGAATCGGTGGTCAGTTTGTGGCCAATGTGAGCGGGGATTTCTTCACCGTCATGGGACTTCCCATGCACAAGACCAGTCAAATGCTGGCCAAGGCAATCAAGGATGTTCTACAATAACAATTCATTAACAGCACTGCTAGCTAGCTAGAGAAAGTGATGTGTACTGGTACCTTTATACCCTTTATAGTCCCACCAGGAGATGCTTCTAACAACGCTACCGGTAGCTGTTCGAACCCGAGACGGTGGTACCTGTAGTGCAGGGCCGTCACCGCGGCCCACAAATTCTCTTGAGCGCTACCTTGATTATGCATGCCATGACGGGCCAACCTGCTGGGAGAGAGGACAGCTGTGACAACTTGGGAGATTGGAAAGGTTAAAATTCTAATTCTAGAAGTATTATTATGAAAATGTGTGTTGTAAGCATAAATGGTGAGTAAGCCGTTGGAATTCCATAGTTGCAGGTCCATATCGCAACAGCCACTTTCATCTCGGTCAAAGAGAGTGTACGATCCGTCGCACAGTCCGGACCATACATGTTTAAAAAAGCCAACTATTGTTCACCCACTCAACAAGATGGGATTCATTTGCAAAAAGTAAAAGATGCCCTCTAGATCATCTCTCACGGGGATCAATCCATCTTCGATCCACTGGTGTTTGGTCAACCTGGTAAAGTTGGAGTGAAAGTACCCTCGTTTTTGCTGATTGAGTTTGAGATAGTACTCCAAGTGAGGTTTCCAAATTCCCCTGTATCTGCCTAACTGCAATTCTTGTAAGACATGATTGTGGTGTTGCAGCATTTCCACAAAAGCGGCTGCCGTGGAATCGTCAAAGACAGCACAGGTTCCAATTTTGATGGCAAGAAGCGAGCCACGATTATGCGACAAAGCCTTGGCGAGTGCTTTTAGAAAGGCTGTATTTGTCCACGAGTATGTCAATGTGAGATGAAGTCGTTGCAACGTGGTTGTGGCTCCCAAGGCTTGGGCAAGCTGCAGGGAACCACCAGCGAGGAGATCGAGCGACAAGTCCGTCAGGACAGTGCTACTGCTGTTCAGGCCCAAGCCCAAGTGTTTGAGACAAGTGTCATTTAGAACAAATCCACGGAGATGCAGTTTTTCCAGTGTAGTGGATTGTGCCAGACATTGCAAGGTGGATGGAGCGATTCCCCCCAAAAGTCCATCTTCGACCGCTTCCAAGTTTACAGATTGCAGATTGGCGAGTGCCTTCCAGAGCGGATCCAACAGATCCGTGTTGTTGGGATCGTGAATGTTGGAAATGCCTCCATAGAATCGAAATTCTCGCAAGGATCCTGTGGTGGCTTGTTTGGAGATTGCACGAGCCAATGCCAGTACTTCATCATTGGGATGGCCACTACTAACACAGCATGCCACATCGTCCAATTGTAATGACTGGAGATTCGAACACGCCTCGAGAATCACCGTCAATAGAGAGATGGGGAATGCCACTTCGAGCAATCCAACACAGTTCAAGACCAATTCTTCCAAGGCGGGCAATTGACCCAATTGGGCCAACAGCATTACCACTTCGGGATGGTCGTCCTGCCAATGAGGTTCACACCCCGGGCACGTCACGACAAGTCGTTGGGTGTATCGATGTGTTTCCACCATTTTTTCCGTGATGTTTGATAACTTGGAATAGGACCTCAAATTCATGCTGCCCGTTCGTTTCTCCTTGTGTCGTGTGGTTGTAGTGGTGGTATTGGTATCATCATCGTTGTGACTTGTAGGAGTGGTGGTATTAGTAGCATCAGGATTCCCCTGTTGATCATGCTCCTGGCGAGCCACGCTACTACCAACGCCCATGGTGCTGAAAAATGACATGATGGGCAAGCAAGAAGCGTTTGGTCAACAAGAGAAGGGTACATGCATACCTCCTTGACAGCAGAGGATTCTGATCCATCAGACCTGTCAAACCAAAAGAAGTTGCAAGTGGACACAAGTGCAATAAGAAGCAAAAAAGAGGACCTACACAAGATTTTGCCGGAACCATGCATCCAATCTTTTCTGATGGCTGTCACGAGTTCTCCGTGGATGGTGACTCCAACAAAGCAACTGAGCTGTCAACAGTCCTACACTTGGTCCTTCAATGAATTTAGACCTGGCTATCCACCCCAATTTGGGGCCAGCTGCAAGTCGTACTCAGTGACACACCACATCACACATTCTGGGACAGCCTTGCTAGTAGGCTGCTACTGCTAGCTAGGGTGAGGCACTAGCTAGTAGTAGGAGGAGTCGAGTCAAGAAGGTGGGCTCCAAATTGATGAAGGATTTCTCCGCTACGTCTTTCCAGGGTACGAAATCAATTGTGTGGTCTACTGGAGCGAGGTGTCACGTTCTGCCCTGAACGGACTGCGTGCCACGAATCTCGCCTGTCGCTGCAAGTATAATCTGTGGGCCCTCAAGACCTGTTGCAGTACCGTAGCGCTGTTGGTGGAATTGTGTCCTCCTAATAAGATGGATGGAACATGCACTTTCGTACTGACAAGCATGGACTTGTGTGTGTGATCAAGAGAGAACGAAACTAGCTAGAATCGAATCCTGGCTGTTGTAGTCCAATGATCAGGTACGGTATTCTTGTTAGTTAGCCAGGTAGTGCCATGTATTACTTCGGTAAGAACATGCAGTTGGCGGAAAGCCAAACAAGTCCAGTTGGGAGACAAGCTGTAACTACGATCCAAACATGAGCACACAATAAGCAGAGAATGCTCAGTGGTGTGCCGAGTAAGCGGTTAGAAGGAAAATGAAATGCCTAAATTACCGTGTAGTCTACAACAAAGATGACCTAGTCAGCCAGCCAGCCAGCACACAAAGGAGGCAGTCAGGGGAACAGTCTAGTCCCCCGCACGCACAACCCAAAGGTCTGCCAATAAATTGTTGTTTCTCCTTCATCTCTTTTCCTTTTTGGATTTTTTCTTCTTGTCCTTTTTCTTTTCCTTCTTCGGTTTGGACGATTCTTCCTTTAGTTTTTTGGACTTTTTCTTGGCTGGTTCTTCTTCGGTTGTGATTTGTTGTTCCTCCCGTTTTCGCTTTTCCTTGGCTTCTTTCTTCAAGCGTTTCTTTTCTTCCAACTTGGCCTGACGTTTGGCTTCCAACTTGGCAGCTTTCTTGGCCGCTTTCTTGGCGGCCTTTTTATCGAGCTTGGCTTCATTTTCGTCATCTTCCGACGAGACCATGTGACAATCGGAAAAATCTCGTTTGATCGCACGGCCATCTCCGTCGCCACCACTCTTTCCGGGTATGTAACTGCCTTCCTTGACAAAGTTGTTGTACAATGGATTCACCGGTAATCCATCCGTACGAATCTGTTTGCCATTGTCCGTTGTCTGAAACACGCCATTGCTCTCTTCGCTACTGTTTTTTTTTTGCCACGAATACTGAGACGACACGCCCAAACCTGCCGACTTGCGAAGACTCGACAGAGACGCGTGAAGGGCCAACAGTTTCGTTTCTTCCATTGTATTGTGAGTACTGTAGTTGGTTGGTTATGGTCTAGCTAGCTAAGAGTGGAGGAGATGCAAGAGGCCGGAACACGGGGTTGGGTTGGTTACTCGAGAGCTTCCTCGAGAAAAGTGAGACAAATGGCGATTGCTGCAGTACAATAAGGCCAAAAGTGTGTGGTGGTGTGGTGGCGCGTCAGGTTGAAGCGCGAGGTCGCGCGCTCGATCATCATTCAAAGGACGCACATTTGAATCACATGCCTTCCACGCCATATCACCACGCTCTTGATGGTGGGAAAACAACAATGGAATGCTGGCGCAGTTCAACTAAGGACAAGTGGTGTCATCCAAGTATGTCGCCAACTCTAGTTAGTTTGAACTCCTAGCTAGCTAGCTAGAGCACAATGCTGTCTAGTAGTCCGTAGAAAAATGAACTTGTTGCCATTGGAACAGCTATATACTTCGATGAAATCTGTGGTTGAGGAGGTCCAAGAACAACCACAACAAGCAATCCCAACCGGGAATGGTCGCAGAATCTGAAAAGCATGATGAATATCAGATCAAAGGAGCAGTTGTATGGTAGAACCAGAAACCGATGAAGCTGCCAAAGGGCGTACTAGCTAGTATGAATTCTCGTCTGCTTTGGAATCGGGGGGAGCTACTGGTATCAGGTGCTGAAGCACAAAAAGCTGTTGGAGGCAGATAGTAAAGCGGAGTTTGATGACGATGCAACTTTGGGGTGTCTGTATTACTGCCGAAGAACCAAAAAAGCAATACTCTGGAGAGCTAGCTAGAAGCTGAGTAGTAACGAAACTAGCTATAGGTGGCTGCAGCCCGCAAAGTGCTTCTGATGTCCAATGATTTCAATAGCTACCGGTACACTGGCCCTCCCTTCAACAAATACCTGATACAATAGTACTAGACTACGTAGTCTAATGGTAATAGTAGTACATGTACGGTATTATTCTAATCAATTGGATGATACTGGTTTCGTTGACTACTCGTAGTCGTCCTCATTGTTGGTCCGGGTTGGCTGTTGTTAGGATAATAGTCATACCCCAAACACCCCCAAGGACGCCCCAGTGCCGACGGTACCGTTTGTTGATAGTGCAAATAGTCGACTCCAAACACATTCGAAAGAATTTGTTCTTCAATGGGAATGCGTGGCAAGGTGACCCAGACGATCCCCGAGACACACCAGGCAATCACCCAATTCAATGTTGCCAACAACGTTCCAAGAACGGACCAAAGAAACACGGCATACATGGGATGTCGTGCATACCGAAATATTCCGTGTGTGACAAGTTGAGGCGGTTGGTCCGGGATGGGATACCAATTGTCGCCCAAATCAATGTGGATTTTCACAAACGCCAACGCACACGGCAGTAGCAGGATCGAACCGACTAATTGAACTTGCCAATTCTGAATGGGGTGTACCAGTGTACCATTCGTATTGGAAAGCACCCATAGCAGACAACCAGCCGCAAAGATAAAAAAGTAGAGTACCAATGTGACAAGCAGTTTCACATCGTCATTGTCGCTACTGGAGGATGATGCTCTAGCAGCGCGAGTAGCAGTGCTTCGTGTTGTGTTCGGAAGGAGAAGGACATGGATCAAGCTCACAAGGCAGATCGTCATGTAGAACAACAACACCGACCAGAGTCCAATGGCTTCCGAAAGAGTGCATCTCCATGTGAGTCCAAAACACCACAATCCAGAACTCAGTTGCTCATCCAAGAACATCATGTTTTCGGTCGTTCATGTTTCGTATTGCGTGGGTGCACGATACGGCATCAATGAGGAAAATACAATAATAATGCAGTGGATTGTGAATACAGTTTAGAGGGGACCAGGGCCATCATCTTTGACCCCCCTTGTGCTTCCCCCCTCAAACAATCCAACTTTGGTTCATCGTCCTGGTCTCTTTGAAGATCTTCGTCTCTTGGTTCTTTTCGGTGGGGTTGTTCTGACTGTCACTCGCACCGCACTTGCTACCGTACAACCTACAGAGCTAGCTAGCTAGGTTCCGATATCGTTTTGGTAAAGACCTAGCGCAACTTTCACTAGCTAATAACGCAACCCCCAACACCGCAGCCAGAACGGCAAGCACCAATGGAACCTAGTCTATCTGGTTGTAGCGAAGGACCAAAGACTTGTGTTGGACTCTACACAGTGTAGCTAGTAGCTACCAGTAGGCTCCACTCTGATGCACTCAGTCTACTAGATAGCTAGAAATGGTTCCGTACCGGTAGCTCCGAAGAGTGTTCGGTACCGGCAGGACCTTCCCACAATCGTCAAAAAGCAATTGGAGTCTAATTCAGCCAGCTATCGAGACCCACTTCGGCTCGGCCCGATTTAAAGAGCAAAGGAGGTGCAAGCAATGCTCCCCGCACCTCAAGTTTCAACAACGCCTCCAAGTGACTTGTTCAGAGCGGATCTATCTATCTAGCCAGTACACGATACATGTAGATAGCTAGTACCTGGTACAGAGTAGTAGAGACGAAGCATAGTATTGAAATTAGGTGGCTGCAGCCTGCTGAAAAGAAGCAGCCAACTACAAGAGAAGCCACTTCAAGAGCTAGTACATTGGCCCTCCCTTCAACGGATACCTGAGCGATACTATCGTAGAACATTCATTGGCAATGAGGCAGTCTTGATGAACCACACATCAAGTTCCAGGTTCTGTAGCAACATTGATGGGCAATTCGTACGTACATGCCGTGTACGCTTGGTAACTCTTGGGAGGCTTTCTCGCACTCACAGCCAGCCAGCCTGTTCTACGATGGCTTTTGGTCAAAGACGGCACCAAACAAGACAAGCTCAAGATACATGACATTGTGTTTGTTTAGCTCTCTCAAGATAGATGGTACTAGTACTGTCATGTAGCTCGCCTTCGCTGAAGCTTTCAGTACGTAAATATCGATATCCCCATGACGGGACTACCAGACAAGATAAGCTCGAGGTACCGCAAGATTCTCTGCCTTCTGTGCTCCCTCGGATCTCTATCCAATCTTGTCTGCGTTTTTGGTTTTGGTTTTTGGCCTCTCTGACCTTGGACAGATCCTTGGACCTTGGACCCAAGGTTCCAAGGAGTCTTTCTTTGCCGTTTTTTCAATCAGTCACAGTTTACCACTGCATCATTGATTGTTGGTTGTGAACATTCAAAAATAGGTGACTGCTGACCGCTCTTTTGGGACCTATTATATGGTTCATCGGCATTCCATCAGCTTAATTCCTGTAGTTTCTGTCCCAGTGCTTCTGAAGAAGCTTTAGCAATCCCTCCTCCTTGGAACATCCTTGTTTTTAGTTTTTTAGAAGACAGATCTGATGATCAGCTTGATGTCTTGGCCACTGAGAGCTGGGATACAGTACGTTCGTACACTGCTGACTGTGAGACAGATCTGATAAATTTAAAAATGGATGTCACGTTTGAGGGCACAAACTCGGAACAGCACTCTAGCTTTTACAGCCCTTTTTACCATAATTATCTTCCGCTTGGTTGTTCGATCGAAGAAGAAAGTATTTGAGTTTCTAAGTACCATGTTCTCTCGTCAAAGGCCTACTCATGTAACGCACTAGCTGTACTGACAGTACATACTCCAGTACAGTACAAGTTTCGGTTGGGTATTAGTAGCTGTTTTAGTATAATTCTTTAACACTCTGACAAAACAGTAGAAAAGCCCATCCAAACCTCGACCAACCACAACGCACGGAAGCCACGTGTTGGGTCTACGGTACTGTCCACTCCAAGCCAACGAGGTGGCTGGTTAGCTCTCCCTGTAAATTAATTGCCGCCAAGCCTTCCTGACACAATCGGCTCACAATCACACGCATCCTTCTAATAACAACTCAATTATTTTAGCCAGTTGACCATGGCCCTCTCTCCGCAACAACAGCAACTCCAACAACCACCAGAACCACAACCGACAATGGAGATCAGCAATGATGCAGTAGCTCCACACACTGCAGTAGTGAATGGTGATCGCAGTGGTCGAAAGGAGCGTTCACAGCGTCGCCGAAAGAGCAGTATGGACTCGTCGATGAAGAAACACAAGAGCAGTACGGATGCCACTAGCAAAAAGCACAGCACTGACTCCTCCTCGTCATCCAAGAAACACAGTAGTAGTAGTAGTAGTAACATGACCGACTCTCCCAAGAAACGATCGATTCGAAGTCGACGCACTACTACTAGTACTGTCGATGGTCATCGGAGTATGGATTCATCCAACAATGGCAAGTCCCTCCGCAAGACGAGATCACGCCCACTGGATACGTCAGGTCACAGTACACAAACGGCCGAGACGAGTCAAACATTGGATATGGACGCTTCCTATGCGTCAACAGGTTCCATGATGCGACAACGACGATCCTCCGATACGCAGAATCGACGCTCCAGTGGTGGAAAGAAAATGTCGGCCAGTCATCGCGAATTCAGTACGCGCAAGACCATGTCATCGTCGAGTCATCGAGAGAGCAGTACGCGACGCTCCAAACAAGAACCATATTATGCCCCTACGCGAGTCAAACGTCTGGACGACACGGATACGTCCAATCGAGTGACGGCCAGTCGCGTCAAGAGTGGCACCACTGCGCTTGTTACCGAGGCAAGCAGCAGCAATGGTGTGAGCAAACGACGGGGTCGTACCACACACAAACGCAGTACTACGGACACTAAGGACAGTGACGACAAACCACGCAGCAAGAGTCTCTCGGCTAAAAAAGTCAGCAGTCGCAGCAAGAGTCAATCCGCAACAACAACCCAAAAGTCCAATACTAAGGACAAACCCAAGCGCAGCAAAAGTCAAGCGGCTGCTCCCAAGAAATCCACAACACGAAGCAAGAGTCAATCTGCCAAACCTACCAAAAAGACCAGTAGTAGTAGTGGCGTCAAAAAGACAAGTGTCAAAAAGAAACAATCGACGGACTCTACTACCAAAGACACTTTGACGAAACCCATCAAAAAGAGACACTCGACGGACGATATTATCACGACCAAAGGTCGCAAGAAAACGGCAACACCACCCCGACGGACCCGATCCATGAGTCCTCAAAGCAGAATCCTGGCCGACATTGCGTCGTCCTCGGGCCACAACAAGAAGGAACGTCGTTCAAAGGAAGAAACAAACGATCAGGACAATGAGGATGCCAGTGCTAGTAGTAGTCAGAAGGATGCCAGTGAGAGTGAGGAGGTTCCCAGTGACAAGGAAGACGTCTCGGAACCAGAAGATTCCTCGTTTTGCACCGTATCCTCCTCCTCGGATCTATCCGCACTAGGTGCCATCCAAGAAGAGACCAACAAGAAACCCAAATCGAACAAATCCGTCGCCTTTGGCAAAACACACATCAAGGTATACGAAGACACACAAGAACCAACCACCAAATTCTACAGCAAGGAAGATCTACAAATGCTACTCAGTCACGAAATATCCATTAGTACTCGTCTGGCCGACTCGAAGCATCGTAAAAACGTCAACTTTGGGCAACATTGTTGTTGGCGCGGCTTTGAACACATTAAACTCAAATACAACAAGGCGGAACGCAATCAGACCCATGTTCGCATGGTCCTGCATGCCCAACATCAATTGGCACAACAATCGATACAGTCGTCCATTCCGGAAAAATTGCGAGTTGTCAGTCGCAGTGATAGCAAGGAAGATCGCAAACGTGCCTACTATTACGGAATGGACGATGCCGAAGAAGTCATGCACGCCATTACCACATTGCGCATGGAAGAAGCCCAACGGCAAATCGATTTTGCCAATAAAGTCACCAATAACAAAAAGGGACGCAATTCGGCCACGGCTGCCTTGAAAGTCGCCCAGCATGCCACCAAGGGCACCATTGTCGAAAAGACGGCTGTCGGTATTACCAATTTGACGAAAGGAACCATTGTGGAAAAGACGGCTGTCGGGATTACCAACTTGACGGGCAATGCGGCCATGGGTACCAAAAATGTCGCCATGGCCACCGGCAGTGCGTTGGCCAATACCGCGTTTAGTACGCGCCACGTCCTGGCGACCACTACCAAAAATGTCATTGCCAGATCGGCCATTACCCGATCGTTGCGGCCGTCGCGAACGACGACGGCGAATATTGCCGAACAAGACGACAACGACGATAGCGATTATGATGATAGTAGGGAGGATCCGTACGAGGAAGAAATGCAGCAACGATCCAGTACGGGAAGTCTATTCACCATGTTCCACAAGAAACCCACCACCGCCAAACGAAGTCCCATGGTCGAATCCTTGTTGGATTAGAAACAAGACTAGACTACTAGCTAGCCATGCACTCCTCGATACCAGTTTTGTTCTGCCAGCCACACAATCACCATACATCATCATCACCATCGAATGTGAAATAAATTAACACTGTACACTAATAATAACACGACGATTGGGTCGTTGAAAAGCTATAAACAACGATTATCTTTCAGTTAGACAGACGTACGGTCTTGACGCACACGGCGACATGGCTTTCCATCATCTCAACATGAGGTCGGAGAACTTCCATGCTGCAGTGGCAGATTGCTCACTCGGTTGCTCCCAAATCCACGACCTAAGCTTGATCGGTCATGCAATACAATACAATAGGCACACTCTTGCAGTAGGTACTGGCAACGATGAACTGCAATCATTGAATGATGGTTACTGTCTAAAAAGAACGAGAGTTCGTCCACAACGTGAACGCTCCGTACGTGCACTGCAAACATCAAAACAAGCGGGAAACAGAAACGGTGACACGCAGCGGTGCGTTTCAACCACGACAAAATGGCACTCGAAGACGACGCAATCGTAGGGGTACAGTACATGATAATGCTATGTGGCTGCATTCATGAGGCCATATAGAGAGTTAGCTCAAAGAGAATGCCTTTTCATTTTCGTACCGCAATCTTAGGTTGTCGACGGCCCTCTCCAGGAAACGTTGGTCAGCGACTTCCAATGATGGCACCAAGTACACAGAAGATAGCCTCCCTTCGAATTGGCAACCGGTCTCTATGGAGGAGTAAATGTCATCTGGGACAAAAGGGCGAGTCATAGACTTGAGAATATTGAGGAACATAGGTGTGTGGAAGAATTTGAACTGTTTGATTCGCCAAGGGTAGACACCACCCAAATTTGTCCAGAATTGCTCATTATACTGGAGGCCTCCAGCCTTGGGCATCCACTCATAACCTTCACATTCGACTATCATGATAATACCTCTTCGAACTGCTTCCAGATCTGGATTGAGAGAATGATACATGTAGTAGGCACTTGCAAGTGATCTGATAATTTGCACATGCTTCATGACGCGCATGTCAACTCTTGCCAAATCCAATACATGGACATAGCGGCCCGTTTCATGACTGAAGCTAAAGGATTAATTGCAACCTGGGTTCAAATCTAACATTTTTGGCAGTTTGACAACCCCATCATCCAACGTATCTCGTATGTCATATTTGTTAGTTGCTCTAAGCTCTCTTCTAGTTTACTGTTGCTATTGAGATACTACTGAAAAAGTGGGTGGGCTCTGTATTTCTACTGTGAAATTCTAGTACAGAGGTACAGGGGTTGAATCCCTAATCGCGAATCCCCAACACACTCCTGTGGTCGTCGAGCTTGTCCTAGTCGTCGACCATGCTTACTTACTTTCTGCGCTTAGCGCTCCTTCTTTGAACGGACCTTCTTGTCCGACCGTGACCCTCCTTCTGAGTGCCCTGGCTCTGAGTGTTCCACAACACCCATCAACTTGTCCACGTTCTGTTTGAACAGTCGACCTAGAGTGGGACACAAGCAAAGGAATCGTATATTCCCAGCTTTGATGGAAAGAAGTTGAGACGCCAAACGTCCATACAACTGAACTGTCTTGCACCCAGATGCACACAGTTCTACACACAGGTAGAAGAAGAACCTGTATGTGGTAGCAGCCATCATGACACAGTTGTCATTGAAGGCTGGACTCAAGGAGTGGAAGGACAAAGCGCACGATGCAGCCTTTGCCGAGATGAAACAGTTACATCTCAGGGATACCTTCCGTCCGAAGAAAATGGAAGAAACTCAGCGATATGGAACGCAAGAGTATCCTAGAGTCACACCTGTTCCTAAAGGTTGAAAAGGAACGGGAAGATCAAAGGCCGAGCGGTTGCAGGAGGCAACAAACAGCGTGACTTCATTCCAAGGAAGACGCAAGCTCGCCAACAGTGTCGACAGAAGCATGCTACTATCCTGCATAATCGACGCTGAAGAGGAAAGGGGATGTGGCAGTAATTGACATCCCGAACGCCTTCATCCAGACAAAGTCGAGGATGAAAAAGACATGGAAATCATTAGAGTAAGAGGAGTACTAGTAGAACATCTGTGTGAAATAGCCCCAGATTGTCTACAAACCGTTCGTAACAACGTGATAAGAAAGGCAACAAGCAGTTGCTACTGCAATGCTTGAATGCCATCTACGGCACTAGGTAGCTAGCCTACTATACTACCGTAAGTTCCGGAAGACGATGGTCCGGAACGGATTTAAGATTAATCCTTACGAACCCCTGTGTAGCCAAAGAATGGTGCACGGCAAGCAAACAAACAGTCTGCTGGCATGTAGACGACTGTAAGCTTAGCCACAAGGACTCGAAGGTTAACGACAAGCTGATCCAAGTGCTTCGTGATGAAATACGAAAGCATATTCGAGGACGGCACTGGAAGATGACGGTGAGCCGAGGAAAGGTCCACACGTATCTGGCATGACCATAGACTTCACGACGAAGGGTCAATGCAAACGTATCAATGTACAAGACGTTGATGAAATCCTGGAAGCCTTCCGAGAAGGCATCGCCAGAGGAAGGGGGCACGAAAACTAGAAGTAGTGCAGCCCCGAAAGACCTATTCACAGTAGACGAATCTGCAAAGAAGCTCCCAACGAGCAAGGCAGACACCTTTCACAGCCTGGTGCTAAGGTGTTTTCGCTACGAAGAGAGCCCGACCAGACACAGGTACGGCAATATCGTTCCTTACGACTAGAGTCAAGGAACCGATAGGCAGGATTGGGATAAACTAGTACCATCATGCAGTACATTAGATGTACTAGAAAACTACCATTAGTTCTCAAAGCGACGGAAGTGGCATATTGAAATGGTATGTTGATGGTTCTTCGGATCCATCCAAACATGAGGGGTCAACCGGAGGTGGTTTGACCATGGGCACCGGTTACCATTATCGACTTCGACGAAACAGAAGTTGAAATACGAGAAGCTCAACTGAGAGTGAACTCGTAGCAGTTGATGACCTGATGCCATCGATCCTTTGGACGAGGCAGTTCCTTCGGGAGCAAGGCTATGTAGTTAAAGAAACTATAGTCTATCAGGACAACAAGAGTGCCATTCTTCTAGAGAAGAACGGCAAAGCTCTAGTAGTAAACGAACGAAGCACATCAACATTAGGTACTTCTTTGTGAGCGACAGAGTCGCAAAGAAGGAGATCAGTGTGGACTGGTGTCCAACTGATGATATGGTGCGGACTTCTGGAAAGCCGAACTA